CGGATTTGAGCTTTCTCATTTCCCCAAAATTACAAAGGTGAATAAGAGTCGATTTGGAAACAACGTGTAGATCCCTGCACCAAAAGGGACTTTCGCCGATGACCCCGCGAGAGTATCGTCCGTCTCGTTAGAACTTTCGGTCCCCCGTCGTATAAATTGAAATGTGTCGGCAAAAATTTATGGCCAAAACACAAATAAACAGGATGTACTCGACGATTAAGGCAACCGAGCTCGTTGGAAATTTAAGTACTTAATAACGATGCCGAAGTTAATAATTACTACATGTATGTATGTTCCACTCCATTATATTGTAAGGTACGCTCCCGGAAAAACAATCGCCGTAAACAGCGACGAATAATTTAGACTTAATTACATTTGCGCCCGAATAATTCTAAATAAACATACTTGAAATACTCAAAAACTTATTGTGAAATTGCATGTAGAGTGCGCCGAACAATATACCGTTTTTACAACCTTTTATGGTTTTGACTTCGGAATGGAAGTTTAAGATGCGCCTGTTGTAAAGCGGAAGGGATCATTCTTTTCAGCACGTGTATCACAAGCCAGGGCCGTATTTAAGGTGTTAGCCGACAAGAACTGTGCCTTGCTGACTGATGTATTTTAAGAGTAGGGAAATTTTCTTTGATTAAACTATTACATTAATTCATATTAGTATGCTTTTTATAAATCGTCCTAAAACAGTCCCTACTTGAGGTAGCTCGATTTCAGGTTGAATTTGCCCATCTCCTCTATTAAAAACAAACAATTATTGGAAGTTCCTAAGACCGGAACTTTTGATAAGAAGTATAATGTGGACAAGTTGGCTATGGAGCGGGGGTTCAAAGTTGTCCGTTTTCCACCATATCACTGCAATTTTAATCCGACAGGCCTGATATGGGGACAGCTGAAACCCAGTTTAAGAAGAAACAACAACCCACTGAAATTTATTTTTGGGGCAATAGAATTAATTAGAGGTGAAGTAGAAAAAATATCTGCTTCTAGTTGGAAAAAATGTACAGAACATGTCATCGAAGAAGAAAGTATTTGCAGAAGCCAACTAGTTCCAAAATTAATTATTAAAGTGGGGGACGAGTCCAGTGACGATAGTGATCATTTTGATGTAAAATAACTTGTTTTGCAAATATTGTTTTATAGCTAAATTTACTTCTTTATTTATATTTATGATAAACATTTTAAAGTAGAAATGGATTTTTCAAGGCATGGACTAATAATAATCCAGGAATCTCAACGATCAAACTGTACACAAATCCGTCAGCTTTCAGCGTTTGTATGCACGAAGTACCGTTTTGGAACGTCATTGTGGAATTGCAAATCTAGACTTTTATAAAAAATTGCCAAAGTTAAATACTGGATTATTTAGTATATCGTCAGAAGAACTCTACCAATTTCGTTAAATAGCCAAAGCTAGCTTATCATATAATCAGATTACCGTTGCTGTTTGCTTTATATACACTTCGTTCTAATGTGCTCCCTGGGAAGTTAAGAATAGAGCATTAACACGTCCAATGTAGGGAAATTAGTGGTATTAGTCGAAGTATTACTAGAATTTGTGTAATTAGTCGAGAGATTAGTAGTAGCAGGAATTATTTTTCTTAGCATCAAATGTATAGGTTTATTTTAAAATGGTTTTGGGAAGCTTACAACGTACTAGATACGAGTCTATACCCAAACCTGTATAACTGTCGGTATAGCTATTAACTAACTTAACATTGCCAGATTTTTCTCGGTATTTCTAAGACCTTTAAAAGTCGCTTGTCATGTTTCAATAAGTGTCAATAAGTTCTAAAACTTTTTAAGGTTGATAATGTTAGTCTTACGTTTTATTATAACTTTGCATTATTTTATTTGATAGTTGTTAACTATTTCCTAAGAAGAGAGGCCAAACTAACTGAACTGTAATACTGACAACTGGACAAATGCTATTTGTTTCAAACTGTTTCTCGATCTTATTATTACATCCGAGATTACAGTTTTGGCAGATGTGAGAAAAAATGTTTCTATTAACATACGTTGGTTTGTTTTAAACATTTAGAACTGTATAAAAATTATTATGACATTTGGTTATTGTTCTTCTTCCTATTTTTAATTTTTCGTTTGTGTTATTGCTTAATTTAATTGACTTCGTAGGAGTAATATAAACGTTAAAAAACATATTTTTAGTTTTAATATATTACAAGAGAGCAGAGATTTGGTTATATTTGATTAAAAATTGAGCCAGTTATTAAAACTAAAGATTAGTTACGAACTAGTCATTTTAATTGGATATCTCCATCGAGATTTCCATATACCTTTCAATTTATGAAACCATTCTTTAGATGTATTTATTATTTATTAGTTTTTTAAAAATAAATTATTATTTTTATTAACAAAACCTAGGCATCGTAATTAGTTGGTATTAACGGAATTACTAAGGGAATTATTAGTTGAGGAACTAGAACGTAATAGAGGTATTAGTAATGGAATTAGAGGGTATTAGTAAGGGAATTAATATGTATTAGAGGAATTAATTTCCTAAAATTAGCATTACAAGGAACTAATATACCGATTTTTTAACGCAGTTTATCCTTCGGTCAACCATAAAATATTGGCTCATATGGAGGGTTCTCTGGCTAGATGAAACACAATATAAACACATTTGAAAAAAACGCACACAGACACAAACTGAAATGAGATCTACCCAGATTGATTTAAAAGAGATCTAAAAAAGATGTAAAAAAAGTTGTATTGGAAATATAAAAAACTCATAACAAGGCTGACCCGGAGACGTAAAAGGTATGTAATTTAAAATGAATGTAGGCCCAAAATTAAAAACGTCCTTAACTCATACGATAGGAATATTTTTGGCTATGCTGATTTCTAATTTTTGTTTCTTACTCTTTGGCCTGCATTGGATTTTAACGTGTGGGTGTGCTTGAACCGGCTATGTTAAAATAAATAACTTTCTTTGATGCCTGTACACTGTACCATAGTCATCTGACCTCTTAATCTACAGGTCGAATTTAACTTTGACGGAGGGGTGAAAGAACCGTCGATATTTTTAAATATGACCCAGGCAAAATTATTATTGTTAATTGTTATCACACACATACAATAAAATACTTGTTCATAGCCATAATTACACCACAACTTAGCATCATCTCATAATCATCGATATGAAGAAACCGAGGAAGAAATGTTAAATATTTCCAAGGTTAGACAGTGATAGATAGACATATTTAGTTTGGGAAGGGGAATATTTTACGTATTAAAATCGGATCTGACATTTCAAACAGATTATGTGTATAGGTACTTAATTTTCCATTATGAGTACAAAAACGAAACCTTGACTAAATTAGGCGTGTTAATATAATCTGACGCATCCACGGAACAAAACGATGAAAAATCGCGTTTTTGATAAAAACTAGTGTAATTTTTACGAATTGTATCATCTTGAGCAGCTTTTCGAAGGCAAACTTCGATGAACTGCCAAAACTTTCGAGAATCGAAGTTTATGTAAACATAGGTACGCTTTGGTGTCCTTTTGGGTTAAATTCAAATTACAATAAATAAAAATTTGGCATTGCGTACAGAGAATATTTGATGAAATTTGTATATATTACCATCAAAAGTGAAACTTGACGTTGTCTAGTCGCTACCAAATTAACTTTCAGTTCAAATAAGCTTTTTCTTCAACTTTCGTGGGTAAATGTACCGCCATCTGCAATTGTCTGTCAAAATCCTTACTTGGTGGGTAGGATTAGCTTCAATTATAATTGAAAGATTTTGAGGAACAGCATTTGATCATAACATTATTGCTCAAAGGAAAATCCACTTTTTCGAATCGATTTAGAAGACTTTTTTTGTTAATATCAGACTTTTCATGAACAAAAGCATCCTAAACCTGCAATAATGCAGTAATTGACTTGATTATTATAGAAGCCAGCAAAAAGTCATTAAAACTCCACTTCAGTTTTGGTCATCTTTCAGTTAAAATTGACTCATTCATCTGATTGTAGATAAAAATACCTGAAAGCTAAAAACGCAGAGCAAACAAGTCACAGAAGGGTGAATTTTTCCACAAAAAATTAGGGAAACTACACTGCTAGTTTAGAACATTTTTCGGTCAATTTCCCTGCCTAATAGCTAATTGGAATGGTTTCATCATTTGGTGACACCTCTTGCTTAACGCAATATTGAATCTCCGATCATAAACAATACTGGCTATATCGTTTGGGACCTAACAATTAAATAGAATTGATCCGTTAAATTTAATTTATTGTCTTCAAGCTAAACGTGGGCAATAAGTCATTCGAGAAACCGGGGGTGCTTTGAGCCAGACAATAATCCCGAAATTGGAAGGGTCTCAATCAAGTAGTCAATAAATGTTCCCCAAGAAATGTTAGCGGAATTGATTGGCCCATACAAATCGAATAATACATACGCACGAGGAGGAATATGTGCGCCGGTCAACAGTAACAATTTTCATCGTCAGTAGTCGAAAAAAGTTAACTCGAATCGAACAAAATTGATAACAGTTCTGGTAAACCAGATCCGAGTAATGAGCGTCACAATTACTAACCCAAGAAGTGAAAAACACGACAGGCCATTTCGTTCCCATAAAGTTGATTACAGATGTAGAAAATATTCTGAAAACCGTGGCAGATTGCAGATTTTCCAGTTGGTAAGTAAGCGAGAGGAGGAATGAGAAATTTAAATGGTTTCTTGTAGAAGTGCGGCAATAATCGATTTTCTTCGGACCCCCGTTGGCGTTTGTTTCATTGCATCTACGGATTTTATGCAACCGACGAGTTTTTGTTTTGTGGGATCCACGTTGAATCGTAATTATTGCCCGGTTGGTTTGTTTAAATATGCAGATGGCCCTCCAGCGCCTGACGGTACTCGCATTTTAACGCGCAACCCAGTTAAACCACAGGAACAGCAGCCAGTGGTTTCGTTTCGTATAAAAGAGGAACCAGCACGCATACCACGAAAGAACTTACCTTCGAAATCCGTTCGCTGGAAATGGAAACCTAAATCCACTAGCTGGAGCTGGTACCGCTACCGGCACGGGCTGCGCACCCTGAACTAACGGTACCTGACCCGGAACCACCTGCTGCGGAGCGGGAAACACAAAAGCACTAGCGGGAACCGCGTTTGGTACGATGGTCTGCAGTACCGGGCCGTGATGGGGAGGCAGTATCGGACCGGGTACTATGGGAGGCGGAACTATCTGAGGCTGTATCATAGACGGCGGCGGTACCAAATTTCCGTTGTTCGAATTGCTGACAGCGGAATACGGAGGAGGAAGGTGACTGTCTAAGAGATCGGGTAATCTTTCGTTATGTTGCACGGTACTACCGGCTTGGGTATTTTCGTCGCGCGTTGGTCTATTCGGAGGATTGCTTCGGCGGTTTTGCCTGCGCTCCCTTCGCTCTCTCCGCCTCTGTTCTCTGTGGGACTGGTTTTGGTCGTTGTTTTGTTGTTGAGGAACCGGTACGATTTCATCGGTTTGGGCCTCGGTACTTGTGAAAGTTCTCATCCGGGTTATGTTTGCTCCCCCGCTTTGCTGAGAGGTGGTACCGGAAACGTAATATTGGTTACCCGCGACATGTTGCGTACCAGCATTGGTAAAAGACTGTTGCCCGACCGATATAGGAACGGTAGCGTACTGTTGGAGAACGTTGGAAACTACCGGATGCGAATCCATAGATACGGCATTGTTATTTATCTGAGCGGTCGTAGTTATAAGTCGGCCACTTTGGTAGGATTGAGATTCCACCGACGATACAGATCGTAAATTTTGAACAACTACGCCATTGTTCGAGGAATTTACGCTTATCGCTGGGCAGCAACCGTTGGATGTTGGAGTAGATAACTCAGTACCTAAATTGACGTTCTGTTGTTGAGTGAATGCCGAGTTCCTGCTGATATGAAATCCGCCCGACGGTATGTGAATGGAGTTGGTGTTGCGTACGGTAACGTGAGAAGAACCTCCTACGTTGGTACCGCTAGCCGCGGACGTAACCGCGGAATGATGATTTGGACTTTGGAAGTTGCTGCCGAGAGGGAGAACTTGCACGTTTGACACGCTGTTACCTTGGTCGTTACTTAAGGTATTCAAACAATGTATGGTAGGTACGGTGGAGACTACATTGACAGGTACTGCTCTATAGAAGTTTACGTTAACGTTGCTAATATTACTCTGTACAGATATAGGTGGTTTAGATAGGCGTGGATTAGAAGCAATGGCGTTAGACGCGTGTCCCGTACTATTGTTTACTGTAGGTCTGTTAATTCTTAGGGCAGTACCATTAGTAGAGACGCCGGTTGCATCGGCTTTAGATACCAGTGGCATAGACTTTGGCACGCTGCTGCTCCGAAAGTGATTAACAACCTGTTGGTTGTTGTGTTCCACCTGCGTAGAGCCGTGCCTGTGTTGCGTAGGTACTACATTTCCTTGTGCGACGTACGTATTATGTTGGTACCTCGCGAAATGGTTCGCAGGTTCGGAAACGTTTCGAACGTGTTGCGGGAAAATCGCACTCTGCGACCTACTAGCATTTTGAAAAGTACTGCTCGGTACAGAAGCGTAGCGGGTGTGATTCGACGGCAATCCCACGATGTTCGCGGAGTTTAACGAAGAATCTACATTGTTTTGATACAAACTTATCCCATTTTCCGTGACCTGGCCCGATGGAATAGTACTTTGCACATTATTTTGTGTATTTACATTGACACTGTTCATAATATCACTAGCCGAGGATTTATCCGCTTTATTTACATCACAGGCACACTCACTCGATACTGAAAGCTTTAACGACGCGCACGCTTTTGGTGTTAAGCTCCGACTGACGGACTGAGTAAACGTAGCAAGAGAATAGTTTGAGAGAGAGTCACGTGGGACAAAGGCGTACACCGATTGGTCGCCGTTCAGGTTAATAACATTTGAATGTAGGTCTTGCGTTATGTTGTCGTGGCCGTAAGTGCACCCAGTCAGGGGAAGGGAAGATGGTTTCTTTGTGGTGTCGATCGGATCATCAAGGTCGCCTGTGCTGCACGAAGACGTCGGTGTGCAGGAACTGCAAAAGAATGTTGATACGCATTATTTGGGGTGATTCGATCCGGTCGTACGGTGCGGATTTGAACGACTCCACCATTAACATAATAAATGATGTTTGCAATTTAAATTTGTGATGCAACGGGTCGTACCCCTTTCTTGCTTGCCTTGATATTGAGAGATTATTTTATGCGTTTGTTCGTGATAATATGATGTAAAAGAGGCTGATGTCTGTCGACAGATAGTAAGAGTTTCTGAGATCATGTAAACACAAATTACATTAGCGCATTACTGCTTATAAGATGTCGAGATTATTACATTTTGGTTGTGGTCTTATAATTTTTGAATTATAATATTCAATTTAAATATTAATCGCATTCAGCTAAGTTATTTCCATAAGCATCTGAAACAGGATGAGTTTCGTTAATATTTAATTTAGTTGATCATATCAAAATAGAGTGTTCATACATCGCCAAATCAGCTCAAACAAGCGTGTATTACGTCACGTCATTCGCCTCTCTCTTACACCCCCTATGACTTTTGTTTTTATTTTTCGTTCCCAACTCTCAACATTAAAAGAATTTTAGTTTCTAAACAATTTTGTAAAAATATTGCAGTCCGAAAACTTTGAATATTTTCTTGGACAACCCACAACCTTATTGTTTCAAATAGAATGTTGTAATCGCCCCTATGTTTCAGGTTTAAATGTATGTGACGATTTCTTCGAGTGGAAACCTTTGTTATACAGGGTGAGTCAACAAGGCAAATGGCAAAGATAGCTAAACGGTAAGAGTTGGGGTAAAAATCTTATAACCAAAGTTGCAAAATTGATAATGAACAAGTTAAAAATAGTTGATGAGTTAAAAAATAGTTATTGTAAATTTTTTAACGAAATCTCGCTCATACTAAATGGAACATCCTGTAATTTTTCCTTCATTGCATTAAAATATAAAAATGTAACGCTCGTTCTTTGACACCTCAGATGATGAGGGGATATAACGGCTGATCTAAATTAAGATGCAAGGTCGGTTAAATTAGCATTTTTTCCACTGATTACGATGCTAAAAACAGAAAAATAATTGAATTCACCTTGTATATTGTTTACTTTAACGTTCGTAAATCACCAACAGAACAAAAAGGTTGTATTAAATATTAGCCTAAAACTGAAAATAAGCGAATTATCAGAACATTTCACTTTTAGGCTAAGAGTGGTTGTGAAATAAAACCTATTTTCCTTTTAGTGTTTTATTTGAGCGTAAGAAACAATAATAGTAATTTTCACATCTTCATTTATTATAAAAAAAATTCGTCTCTTTCTTTTAGCAAAAAGCATTTCATTATTTCTAAACATTCGATACAGGCGCAGAGAAAATTGTTCAACAAATGCTGTGCAAAATAATGACAGCCCTGCCATATAAAAAAGTAGTTGTCAAAAAATTGGTTTTTATGTGTTAATTATTACTGTTGTTATATCAACGGTTATCAAATATTTAAATTAATTTTACTGTATCACTTAGTCAAAAATGGTTTTTACACGTGAAGAAAAGTGCAACATGTTTGAATTTTATTTGACATGCAGTAAATCGTCCGTAAGGGCAAAAGGGATACGTAAACCTCTGTCCACAGAGCGTTCCGACACACGAACAATTTTTTCTGTCTTTTTATAGAATCTTTAGAAATAATAAAATTGTTTTTGCAAAAAGAGGGAGATGAAAAATTGTTATTATAAGTGAAGACGAGGAAATATATCGTGACAATTCTATTCGAGACATAGTCATTCTTTAATACTGTCGAAGGGATTTAAAAAAAACTCAAATTTTACTCTTATAAATTCCGACCAGCTCAGGTGTTTTTTGTCATTGGTATGTTAACTTTTGTGGCTAAAACATTAATAATTTTCCGTTTATTTTGTGGACTGACGAATAAAATTTTTCAAATTCTGGAATTTATAATCCAACCAATTATCAACATTATTGGTGAATAGAAAATTTATTGCTATACACCCCTCGAAGTCCAGAATTTCGTTTCAGCTTTAATTGCTGTATAATTGATTCTCGCATTGTTGATCCATATTTTTTTGATAGTACGCTGACCAGTCAGAGGCGCATTGCAATTATTCAATGCAAAATTCTGGATGATTTTCTAGAGGACCTTAACCTCAAAAGTAGCCAGAATCTCCATTGCCGACAAGATGAAGAACCAGTTCATGATTAACGAGGCACATATCAATTTTTAACAACCATTTCAACAATAAACGGATTGTTACAAATAGACTTATTCCTTGGCCTTCTAGGTGACCAGATATAACCCCACTTGATTTCTATTTATTTAAAGCATGAAATTTATTATCAAAGATAACAACACGTTGACGTTTTAAAGGCTGCAATAAGAGAAAAAATAAACCAAATGGGTGGTAGAACAATTTTCTTATTTCCATGTTCCTTACGCTCAAATAAAACAATAAAAGGAAAATGGAATTTTATTTAGCAATCACTCATAAAAGAGAAATGTACTGATAATTCGGTTATTTTTAATATTAGGCTCATATTGCATATGATCTTTTTTGTTCTGTCGGTAATTTACGAAGATTAGAGTAAAAAATGTACAGGTTGTTCCATCTAAAAAGAGTACATTTTCCTAATATTTTCCTAAATCTTACATTGAATTGTTTTTGGTTATCAGTAAAAAAAATGCTACTTGCTAATAACACAACATGGTTACCAGTGCCGAACACTTAATTTAGATTAGCCTGTAGAGAGGGTCCCGTTGACAATTGACAAATTGACAATAACTATTCTTACACTCACCTTGAATAACTCACAAAAATTTTTAACTTGTAGATCTTTCTCAATCATGCAACTTTGGTTAAAAGATTTTTTCGCTTTTTCTTACCGTTTGCCTGTGCCTATTTAATGCAAGGTAATAACAATGTAATATTTTAAAAGTATAAGTGAATTCAAAAAACTTTTGTCTTTAAGTTTTTTAAATATTTTTGACGGGTTCTGAGATAAGGTATCATCCCTGCGTCATGTAAAACGATATATAACTAATAAAATTGTCAACTGACTCATGTACCCTATGTTATGAAGGGAATGAATCACTCACATTTGTTGACTCACCCTGTGTAACTAAAAATATTTTTTTAATTTGCAGATATTTATCAATCTGGCAACTCGCGCTTGCACCGTATATCTTGGAAATTAAGCATTTTTGGAATAAGGTTTTTGTATGAACTTTCTTTTTTGTTCGACGCACCCTGTATGATATATACCTATAATTATGTGTTAATATACAGGGTGTTGTATTTAAAACTAAAAAAAAATCTCCACGAACATATAAACATTTTTTGTCTTTAAAGCTTTGCAAGCTCTGATATCAGGTGTCATCTCATAATCAAGAGGTCATCAGGTACAGTCTCTTTAAGCTTACTCACCCGCTATATAAGGATTCCTCATCGAAACCTTTGTTATTGTTCTGATATTCGTACGGTTGCCAAAGAAGCGAATTTAATGCCTCTTCCACATTCTGATGAAAACTGTTCCTATTCTTCACCTTATCCGTTCCAAAATTGGTGTAATCGTCTTCTTGGCTACTCCTCGACGACGACCCGTTGTCATTACTGTCCGTGATTGCGACGTCTTTGTCCACGACCGAATGGTCTGTACCTTTTTTATCGACAATGCCGTCAAAATTTCTCGCGTCGTGGTCGATATTTCCACGCGTCATGGTTAAGTCGCCTACTTGATTATCCGGGAACGTTTTAGAGGCACTTTTGCAGCAATTCTTGTTTAAATTCAAAGTTTCCAACGACATTACGTTTAAAGTTTTCAGCGAGTTTCGATCGGGGGGTTTCTTTAAACAAAGCAACTTCGGCAAAGTGTTTCTCAGTTTGTTGTTAGGCACTTTGAGCGACACGGTTTCGTGCACGTTCCTGTTGGCGTCTTGAAAGTACCGCGCGTTGTCCTCCACCAGTTCGTTAAAGAAAAAATTGTCGTTGTTTTTGCTATCGACGAACGTTTTCTGCGGGAAAGTGGTGCCGCGATAAGGGGATATGTTTTGGTTTTTAACCGATGACGTAATCGACAACTTCCGGTGGGCGTGTCTCCGATTGGTCGTCGGCGTGTCCGGCGGGCGACCTTCTTCGGGGTTTTGACTGTGGGTGGCCATTCTGGGAACGTGACGCTGCGATAGTGCTCGTTAATCGCCCATAATTCAAAATCTGGAATAAAATAATGAACCTAATTCGACCGGTGATAAAAAATGTTTAATCTAGTAAACTTAAATATTAAGAACAATTTGCTACGCTTTAGTTCAAATGAGACTACAATTTACATTTTAATTTGCTAATGCTCTTCTTAAAAAAGTTGAAATTTGAAGGATGGACCAAGTCATTTAGTAAGTGTAAACTCAACTTAATTCTAAGGCTACACGGGTGTAGTCAAACATGAAGTTGTTTAACTAGAACGCCAGAATTGGTGGGCCTTATTAGAGGTTGCCAAATTGTTCGTATATCCTCGCTTGGATTGCTGAATTTGTTTTCATTGTTTTTAATGAAGACTGCTTCTTTAAATTAGCGCTTTCTCCAATGCTGTTATTTGTGAACAACTCGCGCTCTGGACCACTGGATGTTGTGTTGTTTGGTCCACACATGTTTTGCCATAGCTTTGACTTTGAAAGTCTATATACCAACGTGCCCTTGGAGGAATCGTTAAGTATTGTTGAGGCTAGACTAAGGAATGATACAACCCTATCAGAGAGAACTTCGCTGCTGAGGGAGTGTTGGAGCTTCTGAGGTGCTGGCTGTCTGCATAATTCTTACTTTCAAGTCAAAGATAAGTTTTACGCACAAGAGGGCCTGCCGATGGGTTCTTCTCTCTCTCCAGTGATAGCGAACATATACTTGTAGTGGTTCGAAACTCATGCCATAAACCCTGCAACTATTAAACCTAAGATCTGGCTTCGATATGTTGACGATATCTTCATTATCTGGAATGGAATCGATAGAGAGCTAGACTCTTTTCTCAATCATCTTAATTCTTTGCGACCATCAATTAAATTTACTATTGAGAAAGAAAAGAACCACTGTCTACCGTTTGAAGAAATCCTAGTAAGTAATAATAATGGTTCTATTAACACGTCTGTATATGTGAGGTAGATACTCTTTCTCTCTTGACGATCCCATACGTGAAAGGAATATCAGAAAAGATTAGACGAACAACTAAACAATATCAAGTTAAAACTGTATTTAAATCGGGATCAACATTAAGAAGTGTACTCACGAAAACCAAGCCTGAAACATCGACTCAAGTGAAAGAGTGTATCTACCAGATACCCTGTGAATGCGGAGAGTCATATATTGGCGAAACCAAACGACCTCTAAAAATAGGAGATGAAGAATATAAGAAACATACAATGAAGGGTGAAACGCGCAATTTTAAAGAAGCAGTTTTCATTAGAAATAATGAAAACTTCTTCAGCAATCCAAGCGTGGATATATCAACAATTTGGCAACCTCTAATAAGGCGCACCAATGCTGGCGTTCTAGTTGAACAACTTTACGCTTGACTACACCCGACTCCGTCATGGATAAGCGCCGTCGCCTAGTATATAAACCGTGTAGCCTTAGAATTAAGTTTAGTTTACACTTGACAACGGGTAGTGATACAACTGTCCGAAACGTTGTGTAAGTTAAAAATAAAGGCAATGGAAGTTCGACATCCTTTTAGTATTTCTACTGAATCAGTGTCTACCACCTTCAAGGAAATGTACGCTATAGATTGTTTTACAAAAACACCTTTAAAATATCGCTATGCAAATGTAAATGTTATGTTGCTATCACAAGAAGCGTTTTTTTTTTATATAGGACGCCCTGTACATTCTTAAATCATTAAAAATAACCGTTTCCGAGGCACTTCTACTAGGTCCATGAGCAAGTGATCTTTTTACAAGAAGTAGGTTGCTAGCCTCACCTCTCACTCACTCACTCCTGGTTTTATGCGAGCTTGGGAGCGGCAGAGGCAGATAATAGACTACTCAATCCACCTATCGCCACCTCTGGCAGGAGTAATGGATAAACCACTTCAGAGATATATACTAAGACGTCGAAGAATAGAGAGAACTATCGTACCCAAATAATACCAACACCGATAACGAAAATATTGCATTAGAATATGTACAATCAGATATAAGTCAGCTTAAAAACCGAAAATCTTCGGGCACCGATAACATACAATGAGCTACTAAATTATGGGGAGGGAAAAATTAGTAGAAGAAATCCGCACAATACACATTACTCTTCAGTAGAAAACAAGCATAACCATTCCGTTATTCAAGAAAGGGTCAAGAAAGGATCCTAATAACTATAGAGGAATAACCATTCCATTGAAGTTATTTACAAAGATCTTAATCAAAAGATTGCGTGGACTATAGAGACTTCTGAGGAGCAACAAGATTTTAGAAAAACCGATCCACAAGGAACGCCATATTTATTCTTAAGCAACTAATTCAGAAGTCAATAGAATTTAACAAACCCAGGTTTCTTTGCTTTGTGGATATGCCGAAGACGTTAGATAGAATAAATTACAAGACGTGATTGACATAGGAATAATCAAACAACTAAATCTTAGTAGTAAAACCCGGATGAAAACAGAAAAACGGCATCACCCAAGAACTTTTAATAAAGAGCGGTTTCAGACAAGGTGACAGCTTAAACCCTACACTCTTTAACATCATGATAGATAAGATAATCAATAGTGTGAAACTAATGATTGGCGGTTATCTAAAGATTCTTTGCTATGCGGACGATGCAGTTCTTGTAGCGGAGAATGAAGATGACCTGCAACAACTACTACATAAACTCGAGGAACCTACAAAGAGATATAACATGATCGTCTCCACTGAAGAGACACAAGCTATGGTGATTAACAAAAAACCTATGCAGGTTAGTTATAAACGAGAAGATCACTGAACAGATCATGTAATTGGATATACTTACGGGTCAGCATATCCAGCTCCAGTGATGTGATGGAGAAAATTCGAGCACAAGTTAATAGAGTGACATGCATTGGAGGATATCTGAGACACGTGATCTGGAAGAACAAATATGAAGTAAAGTCAGGACATACAGACGTGTGTGAGACCCGTACTAGAAAAAGAATACTTCGAACCGCGGAAATGAGAATACTGAGGAATATAAGAGATCGGATGCGCAGTGAATCCATTGGAACAGAGCTAGATATAGAAGATATCGTCAGGTAGACCAGATCAAGGGAACGCTATTAGAGAGACCAGGTGGACAGGCTGAGGTCAGTAAGATTAGCAAAATGGGAGAGGACACAAAATCCGGACACAAGACGACCACTAGGCAGACCCCTACAACGATGACGAGATAGATGCACGATCCCCCTTACAAGAGACACTATTGGTTAGATTAAACACGTCATTGCTCTAGTCAAAGAAGAAGAAGAAGAAGAAGATTAAAAATAATTTAAAATTATCTTTTCAAAAATAAGGCACACTTGATATTTTGCTCGAATCTTCTTGAAAAAAATAGAAGATTTAAACTTTGGACGGTCCAATTGGAATACAGAAAACAAATGCGTTGAGATAGTGTGATTTTAGCTGTAAATAATCTAGGTTCAAATAAATTTCAAAAAATGATCAGGAAACGCGTATTCGGTTACATGTTCTAGAAACCAATCGCACCATTCACTTTTTTGGTATTGTATGGCAGTATGGCATGTATGTATTTTTTCTTAAAGTTTATCTAACTTCACTTCTTACTAGTGTAGGTAATTTCAAGTTCTCTTAAATGATTAAAAAAGATACAGGGTGACCCATATAATTTTATTTTCGATTTGTTTACTAATAAATCATTAGTTATAGAAAAAGAAAATAAAAAAGGTTGCTTTGAAAATTATTTCATAGATAAACAGAATTTGCTATTACAAAAAGGTTACAGCGTTTTTTAAAAATGCGCATTTTCGAAAAATAACGTATGACTCTAGAAAGATACTAGATATTAATTTGGAGTTTTAAACATTATTTTTTTAATGAAAATAGAGACAATAACATTAATTTTCGTCTATGTTCTTTAGAAAGGGAAGTTCCCTGTAAAAGTCCAGATAAATATATTTGATGATTTGAAATAACGTCCTACACATTAAAAGTAAAAGTATCTTAAAATTTTTAATTCAGAAAACTAGCAAACCTTAAACACAATAGAAAGTTTGTTTTTGCGTCTCAGAAATCATTCAAAATAGGCATTGATCAACTACATTTTTTTAAAATAAAAATAAAAAATGTCCGCACAGATAATTATTCTTGATTTAGTTTGGGAATCCTACATTTTTGGGATATGTGATAAACCACCCATGCGCTGTATGGTCTTAGTGGGATTTGGATGATCATTAGTTTGCTGGTAATATTAATTGTTAATCAAATAAATGAAATTAAATTAATTTGTGACAAATAACGTAGCTTATATTATCAAAACACGGGTAACTGTGTGACACGGTGTGTTAAAATCCACCGGAACTGAGCTTAGGACAGTAATCAACTGAACCCCATTTTAACTAGTCCCCAATATGGATTTTGTGGTTTAAATTTTATTTAGAGCTAGACGAGTTTAGTAAAGTCATTTTTACTTAGCGATCTACGGGGAAATGGTATCTTGAAGAATACTTATTCACTAACCAAAATTGACCAAAAATGGGAATCGCTATTTTTAATACTGTGGAACTTATATCTTTAATCTTTTTTTTTTTTGCTAATTTTGTTCAAGAATATACCTTATCATCACTTAATATGGATATAATCTCTTAAATCCATTATATCCAGTAATGCAGTGTATCTAGTATAGCCAGGTAAATGCTGGACAGAAACATGTTTCCTTGATAACCGTTCGTTTGTCGAATTCCGATAGTAAAGTAGTAAAATTCCTATTATAAGCAACCAATCATACTTGCACTCTATACATAGCAGCACTGGACTTAAACAACTGATCAATATGGCCGTCATAAGATAAACACAAAATGCCAATAAATTACTTTATGTTTATCAAATTTTCTCTAAGAGTGGCATATATTATTCGTTTTTTGAAATGTTGTTACAGTTATATAATAATGACAAAGCTAATAAATATCAGATGAACGCATTCAATAGTTTTAAATTAATTAAAACATTTCTAATCAGTTCGTTCAACTACTCTTATGTTTAAAT